TTGGTCAGGTGACAGCAGCGCTGGAAGCTTCAATTTAACCATCTGTGAAATGGGAAATTTTATTTTATTTTATTTTATTTTTCAATGATAAAAAAAGTGGGGCAATCTTATTTATATCAGATCAAATTGCATTCAATATGAAGAAAGTAGACAGGTACAATGTTAGATTTTGGTTAAGGGGAAAATAAACCATTTACTTTTATGAACATACATGTACCAAATATAGGGGCAGAAAGATTTATAAAGATTATGATCAAAGACCTAAAAAAACACATTGAACAAAACACATTAGTAATGGGAGACTTCATCATTCTGATTTTACCATTTGATAAATTAATGAGAAAGAATATCAGTAGCCATACAAAAGGAACAGGAAAAAGTGGAATTGATTATGACAACTCTGTAATTAGCTAAAAAATCCTAAGATAAGCATTATGCTCTATTATGCCTGGAGAATTCTCCATGATAGATCACATACTAGGATATAACTTTAACATGCATACTTATACATAAATATTTGCTCTTATGGTGTGTGTGTGTGTGTGTGTGTGTGAAACACCATGAGATACAGTTATAGACTTACAAATTTTTGTGCTTGGGTTTCAGTCATACAATGACCAAGTACCCATCCCTCCACCAGCGCCCATCCTCCACCACCACGGGTCCCAGCATCCCTCCCACCCCCCACCCCCCATCCTACCCTGCCTCTGTGGCAGGGCATTCCTCCTTGTTCTCTCTCCTTTTGGGTCCTGTGGTTTGCAAGAGAGGCATTGAGTGGCAATCATGTTTGGTCTATAGTCTACTTTCAGCATGCTTCTCCCACCCTGGGAGGATCCTCCCAACACCTTTTATTTGGTGCTCCTTTCTCTATCTGAGCTTCCTTTTCCCCCAGCACGTGTGGCTGGCCTCCTAGTCATGGAGCAGAATTCCTGGTACTAATCTCGGCCACTCCTGGGTGTTAGTCTCCCATTTTGTTATTTTATGTTCCCCAGATGAATGCAATCTTTCTGTGTCTATCCCGCTCTTTCTGACTCATTTCGCTTAACATGATACTTTCCATGTAGTACCACTTGTATGTAAATTTCATGACTTCATCTTTTCCAGCAGCTACATATTTTTACACAATGGAATACTATGTAGCTGTTAGAAATGGGAAATTTTAAACTTTCCTGATAATGTTGTGGGGGATTAAATGACAATATATTCTCCAAGACATCATACAATCAGTGCTGAACTAGGTACCCAGACTCTAGTGATAATAATAAGAAAAATACAGATCAAAATTCTATATATATTCAATGTGCCAGGTATGGGGCTAAGGACGTTGCAGTGCTTTTTTTTCTGCTCAGAATCAACTTAGAGTGATATTCCATCTTATTTTCTCTAATAATAGCAACTCCAAGAGTCTTCAGCGAAGGAAGATATCATCCAAAAGGACTCTGGAAGACAGAAAAGCTTGAATTAGGTCTTTATTTATTTATTTATTTATTTATATTTATTTTTTAATAGTGAGGCATCATGAGGTACACTTGTAGACTTACACATTTTTGTGCTTGGGTTTCGATTATACAATGATCAAACACCCATCCCTCCACCAGTGCGCATTTCCCACCACCTCGGATCCCAGCATCCCCTCCCCCCCCAGCCCCTATCCCACCCTGCCTCTGTGGCAGGGCATTTCCCTCTCTCTCCTTTTGAGTGCCATGGTCGGCAAAAGAGGTATTGAGTGGCAATCATGCCCGGTCGACAGTCTACCCTCAGCATGCTCTCCCATCATGGGCGGATCCTCCCAACACCCTTTATTTGGTGTTCCCTTCTCTTTCTGAGCTCCCCCTTCCCCTAACATGTGTGGATGTCCTCCGGGTCATTGAGTAAAATTCCTGGTACTAATCTCTGCCATACTTGGGTGTTAGTTTCCTATTTTGTTACTTTATGTTCCCCAGATGAATGCAATCTTTCTATGTCTATCCCTTTCTTTCTGAGTCATTTCGCTTAACATGATACTTTCCATGAGTACCACTTGTATGTAAACTTCATGACTTCGTCTTTTCTAACAGCTACATAGTACTCCATTGTGTAAATGTGCCAGAGTTTCTTCAACCAGTCGTCTGTTCTCGGGCACTCAGGTTTTTTCCAGATTCTGGCTATTGTAAAGAGTGCTGCAATAAACAGACAATTGCAGATGTCACTTCGGCTATACTTTTTTGCCTCTCTGGGATATATTCCCAGGAGTGGTATTGCTGGGTCAAATGGGAGCTCAATTTCTAGTTTTTTGAGAATCATCCATACTGTTTTCCAGAAGGGCTGAACCAGTCGGCATTCCCACCAACAGTGAAGGAGTGTCCCTTTCTCACCACATCCGTGCCAGCACTGGTTGCTTTTGTTCTTGTGGATATGGGCCAGAATTAGGTCTTTAAAGAAGAAAAAAAATCGAATAGTATGCTGGTTGGAGGAACGACTTGAACAGGCCAGTTCAATGAAAATATAATGCAAAGCACAAATACATTTACACATATAATGAAATTTCTCATAGCTACATTTTTGTCATCTCAGCAACGCTTTTATTAAAACAGAAAATGTATTTTAAAAATTGAAAAAATAAATGATAGCATATTAAAGAATTGCCTAATCCATAAAGGTGGAATCTTTATGTAAAAAAATCACAAAATATGTAATCATAAAGGGGAAATCTTCCCTCCCTATTTTTATCTTTCCCATTGTTCAACCTGAGAGAACTATGTCTCGGGTAGGCAAATGAAGTGGCTTCAGGTCATATAGTAATAAAACCCAGAAGAAAATCTAGACTTCTGTTTTTTAAACAAATGCTGTTTAGGAAAGGAGGAACAAAATAGGGGATTCTAAATTTGGATTCACAGATTCCCACCCATGCTTCCAGTATTTATTTTTTCCAGTATTTTAAAAGTTCTCATAGAATAGACACATTTCTCAACAAGATAATTCCAATTAATTTAGTAGATACTTCTCAAAGGAATGGAGCATAACTTCCTAACCCTAATCATGGGCTACCCTTAGTGCCTTCATTCTAAGGACTACAATATGGAAGAAAGGAGAAATTTGACAGTAGAGAAATTGAACATACACTACCTCAGCTAGGAGACTAAGGTTAATATCAGTAGCAATGAGGCATATTGGTAGCATATCCCTTGATGTGACCTGATGAAAATGGCACTTTATTTCTATAATCTTGCTTCTCAAATCTATATCCTCTAATGTAACCATGGAAATTGAGAGATAATCTAAAAAACACTTGTCCAGTTATCTCAAATGTTGACTCCGGGTCACCAAAAGTAAGAAAACTCTTGTCATTGTCAAGAGTTGCCTACAGAGACATTACAGTTAAATGTAAAATAGTATCCTAGACAACATCTTGGAACAGAAAATGACATTAGGTATAAATGGAAGGAATCTGAATATAGTAGGTACTTTATTAGTTTATTGATATTGGCTCATTAATTGTAGCGGATGTACCAGACTAATAGATGTTAAGTGTTAAAAATCAGTTTTAACTTATTAAGATGCAAATAAGGTGTTAACGATTGAAGAAACTGGCTAAGAGGAATATAGGGATTCTGTTATGGCAATAAGTTTACAGATCTAAGAGTTGGGGGAGGGGAGTTTCTTATGTCCTCATAAAGCCACTCTCATTCCTTCCCCTCCTGTTCCTCCCTCCCTCCTCCTTTCCTCCCTTCCTCCCTCTTTCTTTTTCTTCCTTTGCTATTTTAGTGGACCAGTCCTGGCTGTGCTTAGTGACTACTCCATCTGTGTGCCCTGGTATTGATTCCAGGCATCCACAGAATGTACAAAAGCATGATTTCAATCCCCTGAGCCCTTTCTCTGGTCCCTCATTAAGCTACTTTTACTGAGAATTATCAGTACTTTCTTCACAGGTCTCCCTCCATTCCACTCCCCTGGCAGTCAGTAGAGGGCTCTCTCTAGATTCAAATCTGAGATTAAAAAACAAATCCAAAGCTGCCCAGCAAAAATAAGGTAGTGAAATAGAATACGTTCGGGAGGCACAGTGCAGAAGACCCGACAGATGGATATCTACCTTGATCCAGAGAAAAATACAGGAAAAATTATTTCAGCTGTTCGTTGAAACAAGGATACTGCATACAAAATTTAAAACAACTGGCCTTGATTCCTGTTCCCCACCCCAGTTTCCCGTACTCTTTGTTTTTCTTGAGGTCTTCAACACACACCTGCTTTCCTAAAAATATCTTGTTTTGAACAAGAAAAAAATGGACCTTTCCAAATTCTCCCAGATGAAGCCTTGACAGTACCCAGTTCTTTTTCCCCTCCCCACTCTCATAGTACATAATAATTTCCTTTTCCTTTTGTTTTTCCCTTGGAAAAGTATAAGCAAACTCCTGACTGAACCACCGTTTGTTTTTGTCTCAGGGATCCTGATATTGGGTTGTGATGTCCCTATCTATATATACATATATTTTCATACTACATGCGAAGGAGAAAAATGGAGTCCTTTGGCAGACTCATGACCAGATCACGCAAGGGCCGAGAAAATTTGACGCATGAGAAATAAAAAGATGAATCATGGAATAAATAAAATTTTAGGGCATTTCTGTGCGCATGCGCGAGGGGGGGGCGGAAATGGCATGGAAAGCTGTTTGCTACCTGAGTCCACTGCGGCCTTCAGGGAAAGGAAGGGTTACCTCAACCTCGTCCTGCCATTGGCCAGGATGGTCCGCATTGGCCTGATGCAATAATTAATCTGCCCAGTCGCGCCCCGCCCCCCACATCTCCCGGGCCGCCTGCCGGGCAGCTAATCCTCCCTCCAAATCCCTTTGCCTGCCGGCCAGCTAATCCTCCTCCCACCCCACAATCCCTTATTCACCGCTACAACTGCCCTCTTGCAGGTCAGTGCGCAGCAGAGACAGCTACCTGTGGCCTTTTGGGTGAGAGTGCGATTGACTATTGGGGAATGCGCAAACAGCAAAACAAAAGACTTGAACACCACCTCGAATTTGCTCTGATTTTTATTAGGATTAATGGGGTTCAAGGGAATGAGGAGGGTCTTCTGGGGGAGGGGAATAAGAGTACCGCAATGGGGGAAAACCTTGCATAGACACAGAGGCAGGCTAGCTGGCACAGCAAGAAAAGGCAAGAGATGGAGAGGATAAGGACTTGGGAGAACAGGGTGAGTACAGAGCCCCCCAAGGCCACAATGGCCCTCCCCGATTGGGGATCAAGGGTGTCCACTCAATACAGCACGAGGAGGGGGGATAAAGGGGCCCTGATCAAGGCAACACAATATATACACGTTTAGCAGCACACAGAAGCCTGCAGGGTAGGAGGGCCAAATGGAAGAGGGCCCTCCCCCTTTCCCTCCCCTCCAAATTAAGAACTTTGCAATTACTAAACCATAAAAATAAACTTTAAATCCGTGTATGAAGTCGGCTGATCCCCCAGAAGTGCAATATGGGGCCGCTGTGACCCAAGCAGAAGGAGTGGGCAGATGGGGCAGGTGGAGTGGGATGCAGAGAGACTCCTCACTCCCATAGGAGTAATCTCAAACTGTTTATACGGTTCTGCCGCTGTTCTTTCCTGGGCCCACCCAGGTGTTTTGGACCAGAAGCACCTCCTGCATATCAGATGCTACTATGTCATCCTCTCGCTCTATCTCTTTAAATACATCCTCCTCACAGCTTCTTTCCTCTTCACTGTTTTCCTCATCTTCTTGCTTGCTGCCTGCACAGGGGTAAGAGGCAGGAAGGGGACATAGGGTGGTTAGATGGGCAGGTAGCTGTAACTAAAAGTGACAATATCAGAGCCCATTGCTAGAGCTTTTATTTTTTTTTTTTTTTGCTTTTTGGGTCATTCCTGGCAATGCACAGGGGTTACTCCTGGCTCTGCATTCAGGAATTACTCCTGGCAGTGCTCAGGGGACCATATGGGATGCTGGGAATCGAACCCGGGTCAGCCACATGCAAGGCAAACACCCTACCCGCTGTGCTGTTACTTCAGTCCCTGCTAGAGCTTTTAGAGATCTGAGGCCCCTTGCCAAATGGCTCTGCTTGTAGCAGGCAGCCATGGATGAAAGGGAGAGGAATTTGAAGGAAGAAAGAAGGCAGAATGTTGACATTTCTGAAAGTAGTTCCTTTCTCCCTTTGTGTCTCTTTCTGAACTCTGACCATAAAACTGAATTAACTTATTCATCTTCAGGCAGCACTAGGACTAGAGAGACTGTTGCCTCTCCTTCTCAGAAAAAAGAGATGGTCAGATGGGGATGAGGCTGATAACTCCCCCAGCTTCTCTATCCTACCCCAGAATGTCTTAAATAAGTTTATTCATTTAATACCTCCTCTTCAGTACCCTGGCCCTACTCAAAGAAATTTTCCCAGGACCCCATGGCCAAAAGCCCCAGGAATGAGTTGTCTTATTGTTCCTTCCATCTCTTCCCTAGGGGCCTTTCTTGACTATAGCTGGACTCTTAACAGCCCCGTTGCATGGCAGTTCCCAGGCCAGAATGGGTACAGAGTGTGCTGAATTACAATGTTTGCCACCTTCCCCTCTCTGTGTTGTGAACCTATACTTAATATTCCTTCTGTATCTCTTTTTGTTCAAATCTTTTGCTTTGTTACAACCTATATGCCTTTCACCTAAAACTGTTCTTCAGTTTCATAACATTTTAAAATTAAATTGCTTGGTCTTGTTTTGCTGTAAAGTTGCAAAGGTTTTTTTGTTTGTCTTTTCTCCACAAGAGCAATTTGTATTCATGACTTGTTCTCAGGATGCCGACCAGTTTTCTCTGAAAAAGAGAAAAGAGGGAAGACAAGAGGGGGTTCTAGCTTACCTTCCTCAGTGTCAGGCTCCTCTTCTTCCACAGAGGATTCCAGGAAGTTCTCTACCTTATCCTCATCATCATTCTGGTTGTTGCGGTTAGCCTGATTCTTGGCAAAATATTCACTGTCATTCTCTGAATCTTCAAAGTCTTTGTCATCATCATCACCACTGCTTTCATCATCACCTTCATTGCCATCATCATCATCACTGCCTTCACTACTGTCATTATCACTGAACTCAATTGCACTTTCGCTGCTGTCCTGGTTGCTGCCACTGCTATTCAGGTTGCCCCCTTTGGGTTTCTTATAACCAATGTGGTGGCTGTCATCATCACTGCTGCCAGATATGTCAGGATTCTCTTTGTTATAATCAGAGTTTTCACTGTTGTTACCAGGACCCTCTTCATCAGTGGTCTCATCATCAAAGCTCTCGTTATCAATGATTTGATTGTCTTTGGGGTTGTCATCATCATCGGCGGCCTCTATCTTGTGGTTCTCATTGTGGTCACATAGGTTCTCTTCAGTTATATCACTGTCAGTGGTATCAAAGCAATCAGTGGTCTCCATGAAATCGGAGATTCTGATACCATGAAAGTACTCAAAGTCAGAAAAATCACTGTCTGAAGTGTCATCAATAACGTCTTTTACTATGTGATAGTCATCATAGTCTTCTAAGATCACCACCTTGTATCCGTTCCTGTTTTTCCTGTGGGGAAGCCTGGAATTTAGTTAAGGCTGTGGGAAGTGATGTACTCACGGCAGACACTAAAAGGCAAATTGCTAGAGCAGCAGTAGACTACAAGGACTCCAAGAGATGAGACAGGGGAGGAGGGGGAAAAGAGTCCTACTTCTGCTTCTGTGTAACCTCAGGCTAATCACGCTCTATTTGGGGGCATCCCTCCCCATTTACAAAACATACTGGGCTGGATTATCTCATATGCCCTTTTTGCCTATGTGATATTTATCCACTCTTAGCCCATACCTAATGAACCACCTCTTGGCCACCAATCTCCCCATTATTACCTTTTCCTCTTTTCTTGCTTCTTTTTGTTTGCCCTGTAGCCTCCTTCTCCCATCATGTAATAGCGCAGAGGGTTAACCCACAGGTCATTCTTGATAATCTATTGAGAGGGAAAAAGGGGGAACAGCGATGTAAGGACAAGCGTAGAACACATTCTGAATTTCCCAGGCACTCCTAGCAAGGCCATCTCTGGCTATTCTGGGGGTAGACGGAGCCTACATCAGCAATGATGTCAGTCTCTGGGAGGCTGTGGTTTGAGAACCAGCTAAAGAAGCTGCGTTTGACTTGCTGATTCTTCATCTTGCGGCCCTGGGGTTCCTGGTCCTGGGGTTCTTGACCTCGGTGCCAGCGTATTGGGGTGGAATGAGACACCAGACGCCCTGGTGAGAAAAAAAATGCAATGGAGAGGGCATAGGAGGGTGCATGAATTTTCTTTGGGACTGCCTTTCACCTGAGCAGCTGCGCTGGAACTCCTTAACAATCACCGTGTTTGTGAAGTAGGGGTTTGTCTGGAAGTACAGCTTCATTTTGTAGCCCATGGAGATATGTCTGAGATCCTGAACCTATTAGGGGTGGGGATAGTGAGAGAATCCCAAACACATCATGACCCCTTCCATTCAACCCCTCTTACCTCCAAAGAACAGATTCCTTGCCCAATTTTAGTAAAAGATCTCTTTGATCTGACCTGCAGGTTGGTCAAGTAGCGGAAGATGTCTTTATCACGTTGATTTATCAGCATTGAAATTCTGGGGTGGTTGAGGAACTGATGGAGGGTGCAGTTTAGGTCAAGGAGTGACTACCCTTTTCAATGAGGAGGGAAGGAAGGCGTAGTAGGGCTGAGCAAAAAGAGAGGCTGGAGCAGAATTCCTATATTCATGTGATGTATGTGGAGAAAGAGACCTGTACTTTTATTCCCAAGGTATTATGTGATGGGAGTTTGTTTGTACTTTTTGAGCTTGTCATGTTATTAAACCTGTTAGGTGCCCTTGCTATGGTTCATATTTGATGTGTATAGGTGTTACAGGTCTATGTCCATGTGATGTGTCTCTGGGTACTGACAACTTGTGTTCACAAGCCATTGTGTCTTGTGAAAGCCCTGTCCAAGTGATGCTGTATGGGGGCTGTTGAATGCATGTAGTCACATGATGTACATCTGGGTATTGTGGTATAAGTCCAAGTGATGCTGGGTGTCTGGATGTTTAGGGCCAACAGTCACATGATGTTGTGTGTCTGTGCAGGGGGCCTGAGATCATGTGATACTTTATGATTAGAGTTCCAAGATTCAGCTCCACATAATTCTATAAAGATATTACTCCCATGTTCCTAATTTTATATATATATGTGTGTGTGTGTGTGTGTGTGTGTGTGTGCGTGCCACCCCCCAGAGATGGGCTATCAGTAGTGAATAATATTCTTAATTCTCCCATTTTCGACTCCTAAATCTCCCTGTCCTAAATCTTCCTGACCCTTCAGGGGCTCCAGACCCCTTCTTCTTATAATTTTTAAAAATTTTATTCAATCCACATATAATATGAGCTTATTCATAATTGTCCAGCCCATTTCTAACTTCCTTCTCTCCAGCCAAGACTGTATTACCCCTAACATTTCAGCAGAAAAATGGCTTGGAATGACATGTGAAACTGACACAACCGTTTAAAACAGTAAATTTCTCTACTATGTGTCCTTTCTCTGCCTCCTCTTTAGTGTCTAGTTGGTTGTCAGTTTATCATCTGCGTCACCTTCTCTCTTTCTTTCACTATCCCTGGTGCAATTTTTCTACTGCGTGCTCTTTTACTCACCCCACCTATGATCCATTTTGTATATTATGCCCCTCCTCTTCCGCCTTTCCATCTTTGGGCTAATTTTTACATCATCTGCCTCCTCCCTCCCCCAATTCTAGTCCAGCCTCTCTACTCTTTGGCCCCTCTCCTTCCATTCCTCCTCCACCGCCAAAGCTTCCAATAGAAGCCCACCCCCGCCCGCTTTCACCCAGTCCTCCTCCTCCCCTCCCATCATGGTTCTTGATCCATGACATCATGGGTTTTGATCCAAGACTAGATCATGAATCTTAACCCATCATGGGTCTTGATCCATGACTACATCATGAATCTTGACCCATGTAATATAGCTGACAAGGATACTGCTTTGATCCAGAAACCTGGGATGTCCTGGATGATGAGATCTCTTTGCTCCAGATAGGGCCTTCGCAATTGGATGAATTTGCGCTTGAGACGGAGGAAGGCCTTGCCTGCCTTGATGTTTACCGCCTCCAGGTCCAGCTGAACATTCTCCAGTGCGTGTAGGACACACTCTATCTTCTCAGCATCCACCTCTTTGATTCCCCTCTTCACCTTCCTCTGCCGTCTCCGTCTCCTCCTCCTCCTCTTCTTCTTCACACTTTCCTTTTCATCCTCATCATCGTCTTCTACTAAAATGACAGCCTCTTCTCCCCCCTGGGAGGTGGCTAACATCTGGGGCTCCCACCCCCCTGCGCTACAGGTTTCTAGGGCCTTCTCCTCAGAAAAGCTGCTGGGTTCCACGACCTGAAAATCAATTTCCACGCTTCCCGCAGAAGCATCCTCAGCAGTGAGTGCTTCCAGGTTCCCCGGAGGGGGGGCAGGATCCCCGAACCCAGATTCGAACCCTGGCTCCCAGTCGGAACCCTCAGCACCCAGGGTGAAGTACGCGCGGATGCCCCCCTCCTCCAGAATGACATAGGGCGGCGGGGGAGGCAGAGCAGGGCCCAAGCCCAAGCCCACCCCCCTCATGTCGGCCAGCACCTGTGCTGCTTCGGTTTCTTCACGGGGCCTCGGGCGCTGCTGAGGTGGAGGCAGGGGCAGCCGTAGGAGCGGCGGCGGCGGCGGCTGTGTGTCGCTCGGAGGGGATTCGGGATCGCTTAAGCGGAGAGCCTTGGCTGGCGGCCCTTCATCTGGGCGGTCCATGCTGAAAACGCTCACTCAGCTGAGGAGCTCGACCTGAGGCTTTGCGTTAGGCCTGGCAGCCGCAGCACGTCACACCTAAAGCGGAACTGCACCGCGCACTACCGCACCGCTTTCTTCTCAGCCTCCCTCTGCCTCGCTCTCACAGCGCCTGCCGACTCCCTCCGCGCCAAGTGCAAGACTCCGCCCACTCCTGACGTCAGAGTCCGTTCTGCCTCGCGATTGGCTGTCAGCCTCCATTGCCTCACTTGCGTTCCCTGGATTTGTGTTTGTTCTCACGCAATCTGCTTGCCAACACTGCACTACACAGCTTTCCGATTGGACCCCCTCGGGCCCGCCAATTATCGGGCTGCCTTCCCCGGCGATTAGAGGAAAACTGCTGGCCGATTGGCTACGTGGGAAGCGAAGAAAGTGCCCGCTCCTCCTTCTACGTTTTGTAAAACCGGGAAAGTACCAATGGTTCTAAAGCACCCCCCCCAATATATTATATATGTAAATAACAAAAAAATTGACTCAGGCACCGAGCAAGGTGTGCCTAAAATTAGTAGTGCCTCGCTTACATTCCCCCCTCCCTCTCTCCTTTTCTCCCTCTTCCGCTTCTCCCTCCTTTCTCCTCCCCTCAGCTGCTACGCAGTTCTTAAATCTGCGAGTTCTTGTAGCTCTGAATTCTGCCTCCACCGTGAAGTTCACCGCGAATAAGGGGATGTGTCTTACAAGAGCCAAGGAATTAAGCAACCTAGGACCTTTGACTTGGGGCCAGATTTTGACGTGGCGTTTTCTATCTCTGCAAAATGGCTCTAAAAAAATAACTGCACGGAGAGCTTCATCTGCATCTGCGTCATTAAAATGTTCGTCATTCAATTTATGCTAGATTTTTCAAGATTTTCTATCTCGTCTATCCAATACCCCTTTTATTTCCAATCCTCTACCTTTGCCCAATATATGCGGTTTTAAAATTGTATCTTAGACTTTTTTTCTTGCCAGACGGATGGTCTTACGTGGGTATTATGCTTTGGTTCTGGCGTTAGTCTAGAATTCACATCAAGGGTCGGCTTCTTATTATATAACCATAACTTAACTGCCTCTGTTTTCATTTCCTTTCCTCCAATTAAGCGTCCCTTAAGAGACTTGTAGGAAACTGTCCATTACATCTTTGTAGTAGCAGAGAATTGGGGCAACAATGAGATCTATTCCTAACGGAATAATAAGAAAGTTATACGTATACTTTATACGTATACGTATGTATAAAGTGGACAACTAGAATGAATTAGAGCTACATAGGGCAACATGACTGGATCTCTCAAAAACATAACGTTGAGTGAAAAAAAGAAACAGAACAAGATTTATAGTACAATACTGTTTATGTAAATTAAAACACATAACAATATCAGATATTTTTTCACAGATACACATATATGTAAATAAACATATAAACGGTGGGTTGGGAGGACATACTTTAAAAGCACAAGAGTGGGTGCTTTTGTTGAAGAGCAGATGCGCTCAGGGATGGGCATGAAGGGGTCAAAAAAAAACCCCAAAATAAATAAAAGGTTCTCACATAGACAAGTGATGATCTAGTGTGCCAAGAACTGAGATTATCAACTCAGCTCTTTGCACCTGAGAGAGTGAGTAAATAAATAGTCAATTGAATAAATAAATAGTTAAATGAGTGCCCAAGGAGCAGGTTGACTGGGTAGACTCCCAAGCTTGGATTTCCTCCCCCTGTGACATCCATCCCTCTGAATTTAGTCAAAGTCCCAGGTGTATATAGGGGATCCTTAGGACAAGCTTCCATCAGAGGTTAAGCAGTCCCTCCGGAAGCCATTGCTTTGTATGTGAGGGGAGGGGATTTTCAAACCCATCAATTCCCGCCCACCCCCGTCTCCCACACCCGACTTTGTCCCTGGCCATTTCTCATTTCCATGGTGATCCAGTTTTAGGAACAACTTGTTTGAGTTTTAGAGAAGAAACTGGAAATGGATGGGGGCTCCAGGCTCTGGGGGGAAGAGGGATTTCAGGTATCCAATCCCCCATGTTCGGAACCTGAGTCAAGGGAGAAAGAGTGTAGGCAATAGGAGTCTACTCTCTTGCTACATACACAGGTACAGTTTTCAAATTCCATATCTCTGATGATTCTACTTCCTGTCTCAGTTAGACACGTGCTCCTCTGTCTCCTCTCAACTAGGTACATACATTTATGTGTGTGCCAGTGCTATATGCTGCCACATCCAGGCATTTGCTCACATGTGTGCACCAGGCAGGAGTGTCCCTTCCACAAAGTCACACAGACAGTCTCACTCGACCACATGGTCACACAGACACACACATACAGTCAGAAAGAGAAAACATCCAATATAGCATTGTTCATTTGTTTTCCATTTACAAAATCCAACGGTGAATCCAGGCAGTTAGAAAAAGAAATGGAGGAAAATCCTCCTGAATGTACCCTATCTACTCCCATCCCTGTGATTTCCCCCCACCCCACCCCTGGGAAAGGCACCCCCATTACTATCACTGAGATAACAGGTACCCGCATCCATATTATGTCAGCCACTCTGGCCTGCCTTTGCATGGCCACTCAACAGCCAGGTTCATTAATGTCTCTTCTGCCCAGAGTGCCCTTCTCATTTATCTTGAATCAAGGCTTCCTCAGTTCTGGGGCTGTCTTGGGGAAGGGAGGGAGCTTAGGGAAGGCCTGAGGAGAGGAAAGTGTGGTGGACAAACACACATCTCCCCTTCCCTCAGGAAATGAGAAGGAACCAAAGAACCTGGACAAGGTCAATAAAGGAGTGCCAGCTTGGCTCACCAATTCACGTGAACTGGCCTTGATGTGAACCCACAGTGAATTCTGCCCTGGAGGGAGGCTTGCTTATGATCTTCCACCTTCCCACCTGGGGAATTTGACTGCAGTCTGTTCCCATTTGGGTGGAGGGAGGAATGGAAGAATAATTGTTGGGAGGAAAGAAGTTTGGGTGTGAGGATCCAGAAGGCCAAGGACAGTTACGGAGGAGCTTGAGGCCTGTGAGGCTTGTAGAGAACAAAAAAAGAGATCATATGGGAAGGGACTCATCTACCACATATATACCACCTTTGAGTGTGTACCACTATGAATTATCAAGGCCCCAAAAGTATTTTCATCTTCAGGAGAGTAATAATGAACCCAAGAGATAATTCTGGGGTTCAGCTCTACTCTGACTCTAGAATCAGGGGTCCAGCTCCTCTAGGTAATTCAGATTTCTCTCTATACTTTCTTGGGAGAGGGGCATTGTTCTTGCCTACACAGTATCCACATTAGCTCTAGTGGGGCTGAAGTACATTTCCATCCTCAGGAAGAAGAGTTGGGGCCAGGGATCCAGAAGGCAGTTCAAGATTACAGTCAAGCTTGTGTATCTTCAGCTCATGATGTGCAGCTCACATCCCACTTTTCACTTAGCCTGAGCCCTTCCCAGGGGTTCTTTTCCCTCCCCTCCAATCTTCTCAAATAGATGCGCAAGAAACACTTAGGAGGTCTGGAAATGATGGGGAGGGAGAGGAGACTGGACTTGGTACCAGGATTTGCCTAAAACAACATTGCACATAACAGCAATTAAGCATTTCCATTCCTGGGGACCCACCACCCACCTTGGTTCTTTTGTCAGAAGATCCATTTCTCTCTAAATATTCAGGCCTTCTTAAAAGAACTTGGAAGGGGAGGGTGCATGGGAGAAAGATTGGGGGAGGCAACAAGAGCCCTGGAAATCTATTTTACAGGACAAAATTCCCCCTCCTGGACAATGTCAAAAGGAGAGACATTAAAGCAGGAAAACCTGTCTCCTCAGCTGTGGGTAGAAAAACCTGCATTTTCAGTTTTGCTCTTTTGTTATCTTTTTCTGAATTTTCACGAGGGAAAAAGAGGGAGGAAAAGAAGAGATTATAGAAGTAGAGGAGGTGTAGGAGACAGGCTTCACAGAACTAGAAATGCTTCCTTTCTGACTCCCTCACCTAGTCTCTAGCTCTGGGACGGTATTGACAAAGGTATCTGGACCCCAGATGGTTTGAGGGACTGGGGCAGGAGCTCAGAAAGAAAGGCTCCTGTATGGCCCCCACCTCTCATTTTCTGTTAGCCCAGCCATGGTGACTATGACCTTCTCCCTGCCTGTCTGCCTACCAGCCTGCTTCACATGACACAGTAGGGTTCTCTGGGAGCTGGGGCACCTCCTGTGCCCCAGCAAGGGGCATGAGTCCTCAGGCACTTCTTGAGGTCCTTGTTGAGCAGGAAGCAGACTATCGGGTTGACAGCAGCCTGGGCAAAGCTCATCCAAACAGCAGTGGCCAGGTAACGGTGGGGCACGGTGCAGGCTTTCACAAATACTCGCCAGTAGCAGGCCACAATGTAGGGTGACCAGAGAAGCAAGAAGAGCAGTGTGATCGTGTAGAACATGCGGCCCAGCTGCTTTTCACCCTTAACCTCGTCCATGCCCAGGAGCCGCCGACTAGCTGTATGCCCATTCTGCCGGATACCCAGCAAGGTTGGTGGCATGGGCCCACGGCCAAAGCCAGCGATCCAGTTGGCAGCAGCTTGGCCAGTGGCCCCAGGGCCATGGAATGTCCAGTTCTGACTGATGGCTGGCACCATTTGCACTGGTTTCATCTTGCGGTGTCGATACTCGAAGAGGAGCAACTTGCCATAAACAGCGTGTGTGGCTGCCATGAGCACAGCTAACATAAGCATGAAGCCCAGTGTGTCATTGGCCTTGAAGTAGCGATGCTCAAAGATGCATTGATCCTCTTCACGAATAAACTTGTAGGTGCCCACATCGAAGACGGGTGGGAAGGCCATGGCCACAGAAAGGGTCCAGGCCATGCAGATGACAGCTGCGCATGTCCAGAGTGTCATGCGCTTGGCGTAAAAGCGGTGGTGGGCAATGGCCATATAGCGAGTGACGCTGATGCAGAACAGCATGAAGGCTGCATGGAAGCAAAATAGCACGGCCATAAAGGCCACAATCTTGCAGCTGAGCGCACTGAAGGTCCAGGAGGAGCCGTGGCGCACAGAAGCCAGCACAAAGGGAAAGCAGACAGCAGAGCGTATGCCGTCAGCCAGGCACAGGTCCAACAGAAAGTAGTAAGGAGCCTTGTGTAGGGCACGCTCCTTGAGCACCAGCAAAGATAAGATTGCATTGCCCACTAGGCTCACGCACATGATCAGTCCCAGCAGTACCAGCTTCACATAAGCCGATGCTGATGGTGGGGGCAGTGCACCGCTCACCTCCTCGGGCTCTCCAGTAGTGTTGGCCATACTGAGGGGCGGGAGCTGCTCCCAACCCTATGGCAGCAGCCAGTTTGGTAGCCGATGGGTCCTGGGGGACTCCATCAGTTGTCTTGCCAGGTCGCACCTGCAAATATGGAGAATGAAGGAGACACAGATATAAAAAGACAGAGGTGACAAGAGAGAAAACATAGAAGAACCAAGACAGCGTGAGAGAAGATAGAGCCAAGATAAAATGGTAGCGAAGACATACATGGATAGAAATTGAGAGAGAAACAGAAGAGATGAGAAAGAGAATAAATAAGAAGAGAGTGAGAACCATGCAAAAAGGGAGTGAAGGGTGAGGAAGAGACAGAAACAGATTAAAAGGTTAAGGTGAGGAAAAAATAGAAAAGGCAGTGCTAATGCATTTATGTGGTCTCCCCACATACTCCCAGACTGGTGTTAACCCTTCCCCCTAGCCTGATAATGCTCCTATCCACTCCTTGCTGGGTGAGGGTACTTTATTTCTCTGGAAAACCCCTGTTTAGTGCAGGGTCTTTTCTCGCCCTTTGTAAAACCCAAGGTTGTTTACTTTAGACTTTTTAGACTGCCACCCAGAGTGAGAAAATCACTTTCAATCACAACTGGTTACATGTGCACACAGAGATGAACCCAAAGTTTCATGGGACAGTACTGATCCTATGTGAAATGTATCCCATTAGCTTTTCATCTGTTTTGTTGTTTCGTTGTTGTTAATATTGGCAGCCACTCATTAAATATGCTTCTTTATTCATGATCAGGAAAGTGCTTACCACATGTGAGAGACAGTGAGAAGACCAATGAGTCTGGAATGGGCGTGGCAAGGGGGATAACGGCAGAAAGTGAGGTCTAAGAGGTGCCTGGGTCAGATAGTGCCAGGTTGTGGTCATGAAGTTGATTTCAGGTATCATGTGAAATGAAGAATGTGTAACTATAACGATGTAGATGTGCATGTATGCTCATTTGTAGAAACACTGTTTATTGAGTGTCTGCTGTTTACCAAGCACTAGCCACAGATTCCTACTCCTGAGGAGCTGATATTTCTAGATCAATGTTCTTCAACCTTTTTATACTTATAAACTGTCATCTGTCCTACATTCTGGTCCACACACAATCAGTTATAATCACAGCATCAAAATGGATGTTTTCAACCTTTCTACACCTGAGGACTAGCAGCAGTCCTCCACAAACTGGTGGTTGAAGAATGCTGTTCTAGATAATAAGGAAGATGCACAGGTGAAGCACATGCATCACTTAATATTTCAATCAGTTACAAGTTGCATATGCCATGGTGGTCCCAACTGGTTGTATCACATAGCCAAGGTATATAGTAGGCTAGACATCTGTATAATTATACTCAAAGACTTTTGCACAATGGTGAAGTCACCAAATGACACAGTTCTTAGAATGTATCACTGTTATGTGACTATAGGTCACAGAATGCTAAATTTCTAAAAATAAAAATAAAGGAGGGGGCTGGGGAAATGGCTTATGAAACTGAGTGTACACTTTGCATGTGAAAGACACAAGATTAATCCCCAGCTCTTGGTGCTCCCCAGATCACTTCTTGGAATGATCCTTGAGCACTGAACTAAAAATAGCCCATGAGCACCATCAGATGTGCCCCTAAATAAAACAGAAAAAAATAAAGGAGAAAAGGGAATTGGGTAATGCTAGGTGTCGAAGATGTACAATATTCCATGAAGTGAGCAGGAAAAGTTTCATGGAGGTGGTGTCATCTGGGCAAAGACCTTAAGAAGTGGAGAGAATGAGCCATATAGATATCGGAGGAAAGAAAAGTCCAGACAGAGGGAACAGCCAAGCAAAAACCCTGAGATGAGACTGCACATGGTATTTTTGAGAAAAAAAGGAGGAGATTATTATGGGTTGAAGAGAGTAAGTGAAGAAAAGTTGGGTGGAAGTTATGAAACAAGCAAAGTGAGTTGGAGAAGATCAGGTAGGTCATGGTGAGGACTGAGACAACTGCGTGTCATGACTGGGTTTTGAGCAGAGGTGAGACATGATATGATTTAGGATTGAATGTGATCTTATTATGCTGTGAAAAGCACATACCACATGGGAGGAAGATGGAAAGACAGAGACTATTTCAGAAGATCCTGCAGTAATTCAGTGAGAAATCACTGTACCCCATGATTGTTCCTAAAATTGATCTCTTCTAATGAGTTATATGATTTGCTGTTAAAATGTGGTTTATTGCCTGCCTCCCCCAATTAGAATGAAAATTTCAAAAGGGCAGGGCAAATATAAAGGCCTTTTCCTCTAGAAAATCAGTGTTTAGCACAGTGTGTAGCTCTCAAATCATTTTTCCTAGTGGCTCAGAGAGATCTACCTAGAGGTATTTACTGAATACCTCTAGATATTTACTGAAGGAGCAGTCAAGCCAAGCACAGAGTGGGAGGACAGGCAAAGCTGGGTGGTGGCGAGGACAGGATAATTCCTGATGTGTCTGTGGAGGGCGATAGAGGACATAGGAGAATTGGAGTGTAATAGAGGAACAAGGCAGGGCCCAGAAGGAAGGAAGCAAGCAAGGCGAATACAGCAGAGGCTGGAGAAATACAGAGGCGTACAGATGGGCTGGAGGTAGTGGGAGGTGGGGCTTGAGTGAATATCTTGCTCTCTCCCAGAAAAAAAGGCCTTCCCTTCATACTGTTGACCAGGTCAGTCAAATATGGTCTGCCATAGCCAATTAGGTTGAGCTCTGGTCCTCAACCCCAGCCAGGCATTAAATCCAAGACCTGTTTTGTTGTTTATTTGGGGCTGGGGGGAGGTCAGTGCCAATAGACTCTCAGAAAGAAAGGGAAGGGGCTTAGAAGAAATGGGGTTGGTGGGTCTCCTGGCAATATATGATAACTGACACAACTATGGACCAGCCAATAGCTGTGTTGTCTCTCACATTTCTCTCTCTCTCTCTCTCTCTCTCTCTCTCTCTCTCTCTCCCCTCAACTTTGAATGGCAGGGGAAAATAAGAGATTCAATCTGGGAGAGTGTGAGAAAAACACAAAAATAACAGAAGAGAGGTAAGTGTTAGGGAGACAGAGACATGAAAGGAAGGGGGAGAGAGAGAGAAATAAATGAGCAGAGAAAATAAAGGGGTTTTATACACAAGAGGAAGCAACAGAAATAGAACAGGAAGAAAAGAGAAACTGGCAGCAAAGAAAAAAGAGACAGGCAGAAAGAGCGTGTGAGACAAAGAAGGGTGAGAAACAGAAAGAAATTGAAAAACCAGAGGCAGAGAGAGGAAGGGAGAGACAGAGGCAGAGAGATGCAATTAAGGCAATGCCTGGAAAGAACTGTATATAGAGAGAGGTAAGGGTAGGGAATAAGAAAGTTATAGAGAGGAGATGGAGAAAAACAAGCAGAGACAGAGGCGGAATAAAGATGCAGAGGGAGACATAGAAAGATACACTAAGACCAAGCAAGAAGGTGGATGATGTATAGCCTGGAATTTCTGAAAATAGCACGGAAACTCTTAAAGAAAACAACCAAAAAGCAAAAACAAAGCAAAACAAAACAACAAACACCACCACCAAAACTAGTAGCAGAAAACAAACAAAGCCTTGGTCTTGCCTGGAAATCTGGGGTGATTCTATTAAATGGGTTTTCTGAGCATAGATTGATAGCTATAGTCTTGACCCTCCTGGGGTTAAGGATGTATGTGCATTACACAAACACAATCACACACAAGTTACAGACAACATACCCAATTGTTTTGCATATCCTCGAACAGCAAACAGCTCATATATTGACAATAGTGTGGATACGGGCACACTTTTTATATAGTGTAAACTGCCATATTCATTCAGGTAATGTCTTGCCTACCAGTGCTTGGGCCTCAACAAAATTGAGTTACTTTTTTTTATAGTCGGAGTAGATTTTTTAATTTTTATTATTATTATTTATTATTATTTATTATTGCTTTTTGGGTCACACCCGGCAATGCACAGGGGTCACTCCTGGCTCTGTGCTCAGGAATTACCCCTGGCAGTGCTCAGGGGACCATATGGGATGCTGGGAATCGAACCCGGGTCAGCCGCGTGCAAGGCAAACGCCCTACCCGCTGTGCTATTGCTCCAGCCTCTATTATTTTGTTTTTTAATTTTTATTAGTGAGACACCATAAAAAAAATTGAGTTACTGCCCTCTAGGGGACATTTTGGGAATTTGTAGGAGCATTCTTGTTTGTGACAATGCTGATTGGGTCTTTGGCAAGGATGATCTAGTCATTTGCAGGTCATTTGGCCTCACAGCAAGTATATGCCCTGCAACCCTAGAACTTTAGACTTGTAAAAGATAAATTTAGAATTTAACTCTAAGTTTAACATACTCCACCACCATCTCCACTGCCAACTTTGGTATACTCTGAATTATCTAGGAATATGACTTTGGTATAAATTCAAAGACTACATTTTGTTTTATGGAGAACTTCCTTAAGCTGTTCATTATTTTGGAAAATCTCATCCCTTAGGTTTTTTCCAGTCATTTCCCTACATTTTCACATAAGGGGACAGCTTCTGATTTTCCCCTTCTCCAAGATATTACAAACCTCTAATTACTTCATTGAATCTCATTGTCACACCCAAGCATTTGCATATTGAAATATAAAAGTGTTTTCTTATAAATTATTTTCCATGTACTATTTTTTGGCTTTTTTGGGTCATACCTGGCGATGCACAGGGATTACTCCTGGCTCATGCACTCAGGAATTACCCCTAGGAGTGTTCAGGGAACCATATGGGATGCTGGGAATTGAACCCGGGTCGGCCACGTGCAAGGCAAATGCCCTACCCGCTGTGCTATCGCTCCAGCCCCACGTGTACTACTTTTATTTGTATCATATTCAATGAGATATAAAATCTTCATTGTTTTTTGAAATTATATATATAGAGGAATGATATGTTCTTAGATATTCACTTCCACAGAGGTAAAGGGGTGTAACAACATATATGTTGCATAAAAGGGCCGTGGGAATTCATAATCTTATATATACACATTCATTACATACATGTCAGTGGCTCATAAATCCATGATTAAAACGCCCCTAATACACAAATGGACTTTCAATTCTGGTTAATCCTACTCACTATCAGGTACACACAGACTGATATGCATCTTTTGACCCAATATACTTTATTATCTACATATTTGAACTCTCCCAACACAGGTATGTATATAGTAATAAGCCTATACCATCTCATACATAAAAACTGTTATATACATTAACAATCAGAATGCAAGTCACTTACGTATGCCAAAATTCTCATGTGTATTTGAGCCCTGCCGCACATGTACACACACATTTACACAAACGGAATCCTACTAGGTACAGATATATTTGCATGGAGATAAGAGAGGTTAAAAATAACAAAGTGCTTATAGCCACACATGTATGTACTTTAACACACAGAAACCAATCCACCAAACCCTCTCCTGTAGATTAAGCACACTCATCAAAACATATATTCCTATCCCGAGGATGCAAAAAAGCACAGTAGAAATGACATCTGTACCTATATATTCATTGCAGCACTGTTCACAATAGCCAAAATCTGGAAACAACCCAAGTGCCCTAGAACAGATGACTGGTTAAAGAAACTTTGGTACATCTACACAATGGAATACTATGCAGCTGTCAGGAGAGATGAAGTCATGAACTTTGCTTATAGATGGGTAGACATGGAGAGTATCATGCTAAGTTAAATGAAAAGAGAGGGACAGACATAGAAGGACTTCACTCATTTGTGGAGTATAAAACAACATAACATGAGGCTGACACATAAGGATAGTAGTGTCAGCCTCATGTTATGGGACATGAGACTGACACAGGATAGGTAGATTGCTCCATATCTGGAAGCCTTTCTCATGAGCAAAGGAGAGATGGCAGCTGGAATAGAGAAGGATCACTAAGAAAATGATGGCTGGAGGAATCAGTTGGGATGGGAGATGTGTGCAGATAGTAGATAAAGGACCAAACATGATAACCTCTCAGGCTCTGTATTGCAAACCATAATACCCAAAAGTAGAGAGAGATTATGGGGACTATTGTCTGCCATGGAGGCAGGGGGAGGGTGGGAAAGGAGGGGAATACTGGGGATTTTGGTGGTGGGGAATGTGCAGTGGTGGAGGGATGGGTGTTTGATCATTGTGTGATTGTAACCCAAACATGAAAAACTGTAACTATCTTACAGTGATTCAATAAAATTAAAAAAATATATATTCCTGCATGTGTATACATAGTCAAGTATATGCGCAGTGTATATCAGCACCAACACATATACCCTTTAGCAATATGCAAGCACAAGGAAACACAAAAAGAAAAGAAACACCCATATATATAAAAGTACTCTCCCAGAGATATTTGTACACACATAAACTTGCTCACATATATAGATACACTTACCTGCTAAACACATCCTGCAACAGCTGTATGTCCAGAGAAAATCATGTGGACCACTCAGCTATCTTCTACACACACACATTAGCAGAGCTATCCAGATGATGGGCACCAGTCACAACAGAGTGTCAGAGCAAGAAGGGGCTCCTGTTGTAAATGTTTGGATCACTTCCTGTTGAAATACCCCAGACATGGGTCAGAGAGATAGTACAATGTTTAGAGTACTTGACTTGCACATTTCTGACTTTGGTTAGACACTCTACACTGCATAGGGTCCCTTGAGCAGTGCCCAGGATGCTCCCTGAGCCCAGAACCAGGAGAAAACCCTAAAAACAGCTAAGTATGACTCAATCCCCCTAAAAAATAAAATAAACAAACATCCCAGAAAAGCCCAATTATTACTTTGATTGGCTGATTATTACTCTGATTACTTTGAAGATATTATCAGTGATGTATTTTGGTTTGGTCAATAAATCGAAAATGTATGCTATTATTTTAATTTAATATGATTCCTATTTTTTCCATAAATTCTCCTACACAAATAGAAAGGTTGTATGATTATTACCACTACATAGTAGTAATAGTGTTTTTAAAGACATGTAATTGCTTCGCTAAGTTCCTTGATAGTTTCTTCTTTATAAAAAAACCTTTTTCTTCTAGACCAATGTTTTTCAATCTTTTTCTTTTCTCTTTCTTGGTTTTGTGGTCACACCAGGCAGTACTCAGGGCTTACTCCTGGCTTTGCACTCAAAAAATTACTCCTGACAGTGTTTAGGGACTATATGCCAGAGATGAAGTACTTGGTCAGTTGTATACAAGGCAAGCACCCTACCCACTGTACTATCACGCCAGTTCTTCAACCTTCCTTTATCTGACCATGGCTTTTTATTCTCTTGTTTCCTCCCTGTAACCCCAACTGTCATGTCATGCTTTCCCCACCCATATATTACTTTAATTGTGTTCCCTTTAGAACATCCTAGACTCACAGGATAGTCATATAGCCCTCAGTTAAGAAACACTATATGAGTTTTATAAGCACTAAGTACCAAAAAGAGGAATAATTTGATCTTATGTGATTTATTTTTTTGAGAAATCTCCATAATTCTTTCCATGATACTATTAATTTGCAGTTCAACTAATAGTGTGTTCACTTCTCTCCACATCTTTTCCAAGGTTTGTTTCTTGTCTTTTGGATAATAGCCATGGAGAAAGACAAAGACCATGTGATTCAATCGTATATTGTATTGAAATAAATGAAATAAATAAATGATCTAAATAAAACAAAAATAAACTATTAGATTTTAAGACCGATTAGTGGTTACTAGAAAGAAAGGGGAAAAGAGGATGGATAAATTGGGTAAAAGGGGACAATCAGAATTGAGTTTTTGGTGATGAACTTAACATATGTTGATATTTTTGAGGGGGAGGGTCTCCCAAGAAGTGCTCCAGACAACACTTGGCCCAAGCATTTTGGTGCTGCTCTAGTTTAGTGGTACTAGAGGGCCACCAGGGCCACACCCAACATTTTTCGGGTGCTAGGGTTCAAACCTGGGGCCTCTCACCTGCAAAGCATGCACTACAGTCCTTTGAACTGGACCCAAATGCACACCTGAAAATTATATAATGGAGTGCAAAGGTTATTTCAATAACATAAATAAATTGATTTATAAATAGATAAATAAATATAAGATGGAGCCTTTAAAAAGATAGAGACTCTTACAATCAACTTTAGTACAATCATCATTCACCAGTGAGCAGTCATATGGTTGTGCTTCTATAAGCTCTCCTTCTTTCCCGATTTCCAACAAGAACTCCCTCTTACCCCAATTCCAGTGTATGCTGAAGTGCACACAATTCACCATATCATTCTAAAGTATTTCAGTGTGCATTTCCTAAAGATAAGGGCTCTTTATATGAAGAATACTAAAAATCCACAAATAACCAAGGCCATTCTTTAAAAAAGGAGATGGAAAAAAAGGAGATGGGGTTATTGAACTTTAAACTATTTTTATATAAACTATGCTTATTTTAAACTATACTATAAAACTTTAGTAATCAAAAGAGCATGTCACTGAAATAAGGATATGTTGACAGAACAATAAATCAGAATTGATAAATACTCAGCTATAAGGACAATTTATCTATGACAAAAGGATTGAGTGCATGAAATGGAGCAACAAAAGGTGTTGGGAAAGATAGATAACTACTTGTAAAAAACAAATAAAACTGAATATCTCACACTTTTCACAAAAATTTATTTAAAATATGCTGGAGTTTTAATACAGAAGGTAGAGTGCTTGCCTTGCTTACAGTCAACCTGGGCTCAACTCCCGGCACCACATATGGCCCCCCAAGCTCTGCCAGAAATGATCCCTGAGCACAGAGTCAGGAGTAAGCTCTAACCAGAGCCAGGTGTGGCTCCAAAACCAAAACCAAACCAACCAACCAAACAAAATAGATCAAAGACTTAAAGAAACCATAAAATAAATTAAAGTAAAGATAGACAGAACTCTCCAGGATCTGAACTTCAAAGTGCCTTCAATAACCTAATTCCACTGTTAAAAAAATAGCAAAAGTAAAAACAAAAAAGCAAGTTGAAAAGGTTCTGCAAGGCAAAACAAAGTCAGGCTGAAATGAAAGACACTTATTGATTGGGAGAAGATATTTGCACACAATATGTCAGATAAAGGATTGATCCAATATTTATAAAACATTCACAAAACAGCAACAACACTAACAAAACAATAATCCCATAAAAATGGGGAGAAGAGATAGACACTTCCATAAAGAGGACATGTGAATGGTCAATAAGCATATGAAATTAGTGACAAAAAGATAATGCACTTTGAGGCATAACTTTATTTGGATGGAATTGGAGGGCCTCATGCTTAAACCAGAGACAGAAAGACAAATACAGATTGTTCTCACTCATCTTTGTTATACAGAGAAACAAATCAAGGCTATGGACAATATCAATCGGTAATAAATTTTGGGCACTGGATTACAGATCTGAGAGTGCCAAGTTTAGAGGTGAGGGGTATGAGTAGGATGACTTGAAGCAACAGAGCAACATGGTTGGAGGGTCTGGAACACATGAGTGCTGGTCAAGGGAAATAGCAGTGCGCACCAAAACCATAACTGCCAGTAAGCAAATAATAACGGGATGGGTAGAGGGAAAGGTCAGACACAGAGACAGAGGTGGAGGGTCATGAACATGTTGATGGCTGTGCTATGTGCCACTTTGGGGTACTAGAGTACCCCAAATTTGAATATCATTGCAGCCTTGTTACCTAAATTGTAAAAAAGGTAAAGGCCCTCCCGGTGTTCATCGATTTGCTCGAGCAGTCCCAGTAACGTCTCCATTGGAGACTTTGTTGTTACTGTGTTTGGCATATCGAATACGTCACAGGGAGCTTGCCAGGCTCTGCACGCTGACGAGATACTCTCGGTAGCTTGCCGGGCTCCCCGAGAGGGGCAGAGGAATCGAACTCGGGTCGGCCATGTTGGCTGCGTGCAAGGCAAACGCCCTACCGCTGTGATATCGCTCCAGCCCTAAATTGTAAAAAAAAAAATGTTTAAAAAAGATAAAACATCTTTTAAAAACATTATGACAGCATTATTTTTATTATTGTTTTGTTTTGCTTTTGGGTCACACTCGCAGTTCTCTGGAGACAATGCAGTGCCAGGAATTGGATGTGAGCTTCCCATGTAGAAAGCATGTGCCCGAACCTCTGAGCTATCTCTCTGGTCCAATTTCTTTACTTATTTATTGATTTACTTGTGATAGACTTTTAAAATTAAATTTTTTTAAATGGGAGTAGTGGGAGGGAGGGACTATTTCCTTGAAGGAAGGAAAGGGGTACACAAGTGATGGTTGTGGTATGGGAATGATGCCCATGAGAAACCATTATTAGTAGTATTGTAAGCCAAAACATAATTTTAAAAAATTTAAAAGCTAAAATGGAAATGAAATGAAAAATTTAAAAGCTAAAAAAATTTAAAATGAAGAGAATACGACTAAACCAGACTCTGGTATGGGATGAGACTTTGAGGAATTGAGGTTTTTTATAGTTCTTAGTTCTTTAAATTGTTCCTTTTAAAATTAAAAACAATTATTGATCACCGTGAGATAGAGCATTGCAAAAATGTTCATGATTGCGTTTTAGTCATACAATGTTCCATCACCCATCCCTTCACCAGTGTAATTTTCCATCACCAGTGTCCCCAGTTTCCCTCCCACCCCTTCAAGCCACCCACCAGCCCAGCCTGCCTCTGTGGCAGCATCTCTCTTCTTTCTCTCTCTCTTTCTCTTTCTTTCTCTCATTTTAGGCATTATGGTTTGTGATACAGATGCTGGAAGGTCATCATGTATATACCTCAGTCTGCTTTCAACACCCAGGACTGGTCAATGGTGTGGGACATGGAGGGTGGTTAAGATAGAGGAGGATCCATTATGACAATATTAGTTGGAAATGATCACTCTGGACAATAACTGTGTGTTAAATTGTTCTTAAAGACATTTATGTAGGGGCTGGGGCAATAGTACAGAGGATAGGGCATTTGCTTTGCACATGGCCGACGTGGTTTTGATTCCTGGCATCAGTATATTCTTTCAAACCTCAACAGGAGTGATCCCTGAGTACACAGCCAGGAGTATGTCCAAAGAACCACCGGGTGTAACCCCCAAACCAAACCAAACCAAACCCCCTATTTATTTCAACAAATTTTACTGAGATATTATTTATATTTGTAAAATTCATATTTTAAGTGTATAGTTTAATGGGTTTTCAAAAGTTATGCACAGTTATGTACACCTTACTGTTATCACAATAAAGGTAGCACTGTAGCACTCTCCTCCCATTGTTCATGGATGCTCAAGTGGGCACCAGTAACGTCTCCATTGTGAGACTTGTTACTGTTTTTGGCATATAGAATACATCATGGGTAGCTTGCCAGGCTTTTTATTCTAAAAGTAGAATTTTTATTTCTTTTATTTTTTTATTTTTGTTGCTTTTTGGGCCACTCCTGGTGATGCACAGGGGTTACTCCTGGCTCTGCACTCAGGAGTTACTCCTGGCGGTGCTCAGGGGACCATACGGGATGCTGGGAATCAAACCCGGGTCCACCACACGCAAGGCAAATGCCCTACCCGCTGTGCTATCTTTCCAGCTC